CTTCCTCTCCCCCCTCCTTTTTTGGGGTTTCTTTCTTCTCATTGTTTTTATTTTTCTGTTTCCAAAATTAAACGCTCTTCACCTCCTGCCCCTTCCACCCCGCAGCCCTTGCCCCGTTGGAAAGGAAGTGCGAGATGCTGTTTTTGAGCAGATCTCAGATCAACAACCCAACCGCCGGCCGCGGTGAGCACCGCCCCGGGCACCAGGGAGGGCACCCGGCCACCGCCATGGCTCCCGAGGAGCTCGCCAGCTCGGCTGACTACGATTACCCACCAGTGACCACCGTGATGGAGAACCAGGAGGTCTCCTCTGGCTGGGAGGTCTTCTTCACCTCCGTCTTCATCCCCGTCCTTTACTCCTTCATCTTCCTCCTTGGCCTCACGGGGAACCTCTTCGTCATTGTGCTGATGGCCAAGAAGAGTGGGGGCAAGAGGATGGTGGACACCTTTGTGCTGAACCTGGCGGTGGCTGATGTCATCTTCGTCTGCACCTTGCCCTTCTGGGTGGTGGCAGGGGCGCAGGGGAACCGTTGGCTGCTCGGCGAAGGGCTCTGCAAGGTGAGCAGCTACGCCATCGCCGTCAACCGCTGCTCCAGCATCCTCTTCCTCACCGCCCTCAGCGTGGAGCGCTACCTGGTCATCAGGAAGGTGCTGGACACCAAGATGATGGGTTCCCGGAGGCATGTCCACGTCACCTGCAGCATCATCTGGGCAGCGTCCCTCCTCCTGGGCGCCCCATCCCTGGCGTACCGGCGGCTGGACGGGGACGACTGCTGGGATGAAGATGGAGAAGACTTCAGCCTGGCCATGGTCTTCCTCACCTTCCTCCTGCCCTTGGGGGTCATCTCCTTCTGCTACTGCTCCATCTACTGCCGGCTCCAGCGCCACGTCCGGCTGGGCAGGGGTGTCCGGCGTTCCCACCGTGCCATCGTCACCATCGTCGCAGCCTTCCTCTGCTCCTGGTTACCCCTCAACGCCTGCAAGGTGTTGCTCTTCTTCCTCGCCAAGGGGACGCTGGTCCTGTCCCAGGGGCAGGAGGTGGCCCTGAGGTGGGTGGTGGCCGGCAGCACCTGCCTGGCCTTCGTTAAC